GATCCGCCTAAGAGTTAATTCTGCTGTCTCAGTGAACGTAATGACTAAAATCTCTTCTGCATTCACGATGATAATGAGAAATTCTAGAAAGACAAAAGACATTTAATAACATATTATTAAATGTCTTTTGTCTTTCTAGAATTTCTCATTATCATCGTGAATGCAGAAGAGATTTTAGTCATTACGTTCACTGAGACAGCAGAATTAACTCTTAGGCGGATCTTTTTCACAACTATACATTTGACGATTTTTAGAACCATATCTTAAAACACATTTTCGAATAACAGCCACTCAAACTACGAAATTGTGATTTCTTTAATGACATGTTTAAGTGAATTGCGTCTGCAATCAATATTGGATATTTTGTCTGTGGCAGGCCGAAGAAATACCAATTGAGAAAGCCTGCGCTTCGGGTCTCTATCTTTTTGGAAAGGTGATCCAGACGCTTACCTACGCCTGGCCTGGAGATATGATTACATCCGAGGTGTGTATGAGGTGTGCCAGAGTTAATTTAATATTCGCGGACATTATTTTCCCCCGTACCTAACACGCAACATCTTCTTCGAACTACATAGAACGAAGCTTTTCGTCACGAGGTTTACTATAACAACTGGTACGAGCGTTCGGATATTAGAACCGGAAAACTCACTCTCACGATACTATCGCAGAGAGTAATGGTCTTGAAGTCATGCGGCTTGTTAGTGATTTCGTTGGACCTCTTCGCAAAGGTAAAGCAATTTTGTTGCACTACGAGGCGTAGATAAAAAGTAAGCAGAGGCTTATTTTTGAAGGAGAGGCTTTTATTTGAAGGCGTGCTAAATCTTTTACCGTGCAAGAACCACGAGTTATTTATATCGTTGCAAAATTTGGTCCGATGATAGGATAAGATTTCTATGATCTTTTTATCCACGCTTGCCTTTTTAATGTCTCCCGAGACTTGATGTTGGGAAACGTGTACTTTTAGATTATGAATAGAACGATATCCTACTACTTCTTAATGGTAACGCTCGACGATGACGAATAACGGAGAGAAGAATAGAGATTTGTTGTCTGTTTCCAATGTAAATAAAAGTTACGAGCTGATATATTACAATAGATTTGTTCTCTTAAACGAAACCATTCCTAAAAATCTTCCTTTTTCTCTTCTTGTTGTGAATACGACATCATTATAAACGTTGTTTAATTTAAAACATGTTCTTAAATTTCAGCGGATATGATAGAGAACACTGTTTTTTTCTCGTAAAAATCACAAACTTTCGTCACCTTCAAACTCTTTCCAAAATGTAAATTTATGATATGAAAAATGGTTGAATATGATTATATTATATCATTATAACATTGAAAATTTCGTTTAATTTTATAATAATATTATAAACTTCAATTAATTAGAAACATGACACTATTTTCCAGCATGTTAGAGAACTCTTGTCGTATCAAAATCCCAAACTATTCTCGAAAAGCCAAATCTTTGCAAACAGCAATGACATTTTTGGAGGAAGTATAGCATGTCAAAAGATATGAAGAAACAGATCAATTTATGGTATGAAAAATGATTTTCAGTGAAATAATATTGATTGATTCAAAGTATATGTATATTGTTTATTACATCATCGCTGAATCATCACACAGAACTTACTGCTAGTCATCCTATCTTAATTAGTTGCTTAATGGTGTTAATTCTCTTATTTATTTCTCGTATTTCTGTAGTTTGTATATTCGAACGAGTTTATCATTTCGATTTTATGGACAGAATCATCTGAAAAACGGGTCTTACTTTTATCCTTTTCGGTTGAAAATTTATCCACTCTTACGTAGTGGGGATTTACCGTGGAAAACGAGTTAGCCAAATAAAATGGTTGAAACAATACCTGCACATTGCAACCTTCACAAGCTATTCACCGATCCTCGAGAACCATTGCGGATGACCTCACCTACGCACATTACGCGAAGCTTTCTTCTGTCTACGAAGAATCGTTAAAACTGCGGTATTCGACGGTTGTTGAATAAAAATCACAAAAAGTTCAAATCGTTTAACTGGTTAGGTGCAGCATTAGATAGCTGTTTAATAAAAATCCCACAAAGTTCAAATTGTTTAAGTTCGATGTGCACATTTCCTGATGCTCAGCAATATCTATACAAAGCAGTAAAACGCATCCAACTAATGAATTATTCGACTGTAAGCAGTTTAACCAAATTGAAGGGTAAAGGATTAGCCAAGCTTCTATCGATCTGCTTGTAATCAAGGACGTAGACCGACGGAGATAACGATGGTTACGCGAATTAAGTCCATTTTAAAAAAGTTCGTCGATGAGTCTTCATCGATTGCGATAAAATTGTTCGGTCAACTTGAACAATGCCAAAGGAGTTGCCGTTGTACCAAGACTACGTTAACTTCGTGAAACGATGCCTTCTCATGTGCGGCTTGTACCCTTATCAACGGAGCATCGCCAGCAGGTATTTGCCGTTCTGTTGGATACTGGGTTACTGTGTAGATTTCTGCGCCTTGATCAACTTTTTCCGGCTACACATCACCGAGATCAGTGCGATCACTGCGTGTCTAAGCGTGCTTAGCGGCATTGTCAACATGACTATAAGGGTACGTTCGTCGGCGCAGTGATAATTTCTGTTCACTAGCTCTGACTCATTTTCTCGCAACCATGATCTTTACGATATACCATGATCTTTATATGACTTATAATACTTTTTCATTTTAGTCAGCACCGAGAGAGTTAACTACTTAATGCACAAATATTTTAATCCGTACATGTCTTCTCAGAATAGTAAATCCATTTTTAAACTTGTTTTTATTCGATCGTTAAAATAAAGTTGGCGATATTCGATTCCCTCGTGCTAAAAGTACTTGTAAAACCACTTGAAAATGAAACATTTAATCAAATTTATACGCAGTCAAATTATTTGTTGTTAATTTAGTGAACTTGCGATGTACACTAGCATCATTGTTTAAGGATTAAACTGATTGATTCATAAGACTGATGAATTAATTTAGATATTCATGCATTGAAAATTACATTGGAACACAATTAACGTTTGATTTTTAGAAACAGTCTACTTTATAAATCAAGTTCAGTATATACAAACTGTTGATAGGAAATCAATGTAAGAATTTAAACAAAAATTTTAATAAAAATCAGAGATCCAGGACCAAGTATTTTTTGCACAAGGATCAACCGATTTTCTGTCTGTTTTGCGAAGAATCGTAACTTTTAAGGCACATTTCTATTTCGACTAATAATTGACGTTCTTTAAACGATTACTATTATTCCAGTGTTCCCGATTCGTGATTTGTCGTGAAAAACTGATGCAGGTGGCCGACACACTCGAGGCACTGTTCCAGGAGACTGCGATGCAGCAACCCCCTGATTCACCCGCTTTCCAGTTCATGCTGCCCTTTTACCGTCTGGGATACTACCACTACGTGTGCATGGTCAGCACCGCGATTTTATACTCGATCAAACCGCTGATAGATCTGACAATTCGACACGCGAATAGGTCGACACCGTTTCCCGCAATTTTTCCGTTGCCGATCGACTCAACCGCGTTTTTCGTGGCGCACTATCTGCTCGAGGTGAGCATCTGTTACTCGTTTTGTATCATAACTTCCGGGGTAGACGCGTTTTTCACTCTGTGCGCGTTCCGCATGAGCTCCGTGTTCCGAGCGATGGCAGTCCAGCTGGAGGAATTTCCGAAACGACGAAATGGCGAGAACACCGAGCAGTTCTTGCGGAACTGTATCGACCGTCACGTCACGTTGATCAAGTGTCGAGAAATTATGGAGGAGATTTACGGGCCTATCATTTTCTCTGTCATGATGTCCAATTGTCTGGGCATGTGCGCGTTGATATTCGAGGTCACTAAGGTCAGTGTAATCGCGTTGCAATGAAACATCAATCGGCAAAAGGGGTGAAAACAAATGCCAATGTTCGGGATAGAAAGCCTAGTTGTAAACAAATATATGTGGTCATCTTCTAAAACTGGGTTCCTCCTAAAATTGGGTTAAACAATTTGAATTTTTCTGAAATGATAGTGGAGGCTAGTTTGCTAGACAACTCATAAAAAATGTCGTGTAAACATTTCAATTTAAACAGCAAGCATATAACTTATTCAGTCCTAAAAAATTAATTAATCGTGTTTTTGATATATGCATAGACAAGAAAGTTAAAATTCGTGATTTTTTCAACTTTTCCTCTGCTTTTGCAAAAAAATTTTTGTTACATTAACATTCGATGTAGCTTCGAAAGAATTCAACTCGTTTGGATCACTTTTAGAAAAATTGTTCCGTTTAAAACGTGTCCACATATGCACAGTTGTCCACGACTGTATGCTTGCATGAATATCCCAGGAATTTTCATCATTTTCATCGATATAGAATGTTTTTGAAAAATTTAATAAATAAGTATAAAAAATAATAGGTCAATGCTGCAATGCCGGTTGTGAAAGCCGCGTCAGTAATACTGTACCTCACTGGGAAGGTGCTTCAAACTTTCATGTACACCTGGTCGGGTGGCGTGGTCACGTCCGAGGTTTGTATCACCGGTAATAGTGATGAGACTGTCGATCCTTATACATATAACTCTTCCTCGGAAAGAGCGATGTTTTTCGCCAGGAAGTTTGCTGCAACAACTGGTACGAGGACACAAGTGTCAAAACCGGTAAACTCACGCTCACGATACTGATGCAGAAATCGCTGATCCTGAAGGCATGCCGTTTAATGGCAGTTAGCGACGATCTCTTCGCCAAGGTAGTTCAATCTCATTCTTATATTAGTTTGTCACGAAAGTTAATTTTGTTTTTGACTAGTATGCAAAACGTGAATTTGTATGTTTGCATATGTTCGTACTATTTAACAGTGCGAAGAACCTTTGGCTCAACCTAATGTTTTTTAGATTCAAGATTTAATGACTGCGAACATATATTTTCAGATCATAAATAGAGCCATATCCTACTATTTCTTACTGCTAACGCTTGACGATGACGAATAATGGAAGGATGATATAGAAATCTATTTTGTATTTCCAATATAAATAAATGTTAGTAACTGATAAATCGTAGTAGATTTGTTCTCGTAAACGAAACCGTCCCTAAACGTAGTCCTCTTTTCTCTTCTTGTTGATAGTACGACAACACTATAAATGTTTTACAAATTTAACGCTAGCATTGCACTCTTTGTTCTATTTTATAATAATGTTATAAATTTCGTTTAATTAGAAACATGACACTATTTTGCAGCATGTTAGGAAATCATATTTTGTCCAATTAAAATCGCAAATTATCCTGGAACCTTTTCCAAAAAGTGATGAAATTATTGGAAGAAATATAGCACGTTCAATAACATGAACAAATAAGTCAATTCATGCTAGGAAAAATGATTTTCAATTAAATAATGTTTGATCCAAAATATATATCGTTCATCATATCATCCGCTAGATCATTACACAGAACTTAGCGCCGGTGGCTTCCTTCGCTTTGATAAGCATGTCCACGAATGGGGAGCAAATTACTTTCTATCTCAATTAATTGCTTAGTCGAAAGAATTTTGTTTTTCATTCCTGTAGTTTTTATATTTGAACGTGTGACTGGTTTCGATCTTCTGAACAGAGTCATCGATAAAGTGGATCTTACAGGCAGCAGAGCTGTTTATGCAGGTATCATTTGATCAATTGTGATCGTTTATGTGCAATTTCTGGTTTCCTTTTTCGGTTGCAGATCTTGACGCAGATCGTGTTGGTCACTATTGTTTATTTGTGTGATGGAGATTTGGATTGCAAATCCAAACAAACATTTCACCGTATTAATTAATAGAAACTAACTATTCACAATTTCATGTTTAATAAATAATGATTTCAGGTTCAACGTTCCACAATAACATCCAGCTTATTTTTGCGATCTTTGTCACTAGTGTAACAACACCACATCTGTCGTTATCTGTGCAGAACTTGTCTCTAACCATTCTAAGTTCTTTACTAGCTACGTTTATACATCTTACAATTCCTACAAATCCCCCTCTTCCGCACTACGTAATAACTGTATCGAGGTATACCTCAAACCTTTTTGAAAATCCTATGCACAGATTTGCCGTGGAAGATTATTCGTAATCGCGAACGGGTTGTAACATCTAATCCCGTAAAGAATCGAGCGAATTTGAGCGAAGTAAATTCTTAAACATGTCCGTTTTTTGTGGAGCAATCCAACGAAATTGAAGGGTGATGAAGTGGTTGCACGACCATCGATCGATCCGTAATCGCACGCGTAGGACAAGGGATATACTGGCCGTTATGCTTGCATAAGCATTAGGTCCATTTCAGAAAAAAATTACCAATTGTACTTCGCAGATATCGACAGGATTTCTGTACAGTTTCAACGATGACACGGGAAATGTTAGTCTACGAAAAGTACACTAATCTCGTGAAACGTATCTTGAAGCTTTATGGACTGTACCCACACCAGAGTGGCATTGTCATATACCTGCCAATTTTTTTACTCCTATGGTATGGCTTTGTGCTCTGTGTCATGGTGAACTTTCTCCGTCTACACATATCGGAGATCAGTGCGGCCGTCGCGACTTTTAGTGTGCTTAGTTCCCTTGTGAACGCAGGCGTAAAGGTACGTTCTTTTCTTTGAAGGAAACAAGAAACAACAAATCGATAGAGCAAATCCTTTGAATGTATAAAGAATATCAATATCTAAATTTAGTGTGATCTAGTAATCTACCTTTAACTATTTTCTATCAATGTACTCGATAGATTAGTCAATTCATGTGATTAAAATAAAGGGTAATTGAACAGTTTGTAGAACCATAATTTTGTTTGAATTGACGTAATCAAATTGGTGGAAACATTTCACAATAGAGTGTAAATAGAATTTCAAATGACGATGAAA